AAGTTTTCTACTAGCATGTTTGAGCAGTTTTCTACTAGCATGTTTGAGCAGTTTTCTACTAGCATGTTTGAGCAGTTTTTTACTAGCATGTTTGAGCAGATAGGTATTGTATACAATCATAATGTTAAAAAGATGAATTTTAATTATCAATATTTATAACAAAGACAACACAAAATATCCCATTTGATCTTTCTGTGTAGTTTATTTCAGTTAGTGATATATCTTAAAAGGTTTTATCAAATGGTGGAAAACACAATTCTACGCGAACAACTGTCGTGTTTGTTTGGGTTATCAGTTCCTTAAGGCGACAAAATTATTCGAAAAAACTCGGAAGATTCCGGAAAAAAATTGACGTTATGCCATTATTGATCCCCAAATACTCGAACAGGATAGTGAAAAAACCGGAACGGTTTCCTATCAGTTTCCTATCAGTTTCCTATCAATATAAACCATCCAATAACAAACGTTTTGTTTTCCAAATCAACAACTCTATAACACATTTTCTCTCTTTTTCACCACAAACTTTCGAGAAAGACATTTTGCGTTTGCATAATAGTAACTATTTGATAACATTTTATCAGATGTGATTAAGCTCATGAATATGAATGAGTAATTGACTTATTTTAAGATATATACTACGTTCTATAAACCTGATCAGATGATATCAACCGAGGACAAAGTTCGAAGTCTCTATCACTGTCACCATAGTAACACCGTTATAACTACGCAGATAGACGAACTTCTTCATTAATGTATCCTGATGGAATCCGTGGGTCGCTCCGACCAAGACACACAAAAAAGTCCCCTAAAGCTCCAGTGTTGCTGCTTTAAAACAGCTTTCAATAATAGAAATTAGAAGGAGATGCAAGTCGCTATCACGATCCTGAAGTTAGCTGGCACAACTCACTAACCGAATATGTAGCGAATCTGGTAAATCTCTCAACTCAGCACAAACTCCATCGATGTAAAAAATAGATGCTTTCGATATAACCAGTATCTTGGAGACTTCTTTAGATACAAGTGAGTGTAACATGTATACACTATAGATCAATACATTTCACTGCCATAATGTTTTCAATATAACAGACCAAATAGCGTAATAATCCTATTACAAGGTATTTAGCTATCTTCATGTATGTCGTTTCATGTTTTAGTTATGGGTAAGCATTATCAGACTCAATACATGTCAAATCTTTTAGTGTGGGGTACGCTTTTATGTACAGTTCGTAGCTTTAAGGAAGACCTCGGTATCTACTGCTCAGCATAAAGTAATAATCTCACATTTAAAATACTGTACATTGATTGTTTCCGAGTAATTACTTTTGCGTTTAGGCCACACGATTTCCCTGATGATATTTATTTAAACATAAGCAACAGAGGCCACCAGAGCGCTTGAATAAATCCTTACGATTTAACATGAAAACATACCTCAGTAAATATGTCAAAATATTTTACTACATATTAGGAGGTGATATTTCTCGTTTCCTTCACATTTTAACAAACTTGCATGCAAATATAGGGTATACAAAACGGAAGACATGTTTACTATCAAGCACCATTAAAACAACACGATCAGTGAAAACACATGATCATTCGGTCATTCACTGAATATCTTAGACACCCTCTTTCGAGAATTCATATTGGGTGTTGAGTGACAAAATGCACTGTTTTCTAAACTGTTATTGTCAAACCCTAACTCCCGTGAATTAACAGCTGGCGTTGATTGCTCATAAGCGTCGTTATCCGCACTTTGAAACCGAACCACGAGTTCATCTGGACTGAGTGATTGTTGACTGTGTCTGGATTCTCTGGGGCATTCCTTTGGAACCGGAAGTCCAGCATCTATCATTTTTCGCAGACCTCGTGCGCTACACACTGGAGTAGTCAATGCATGAGTCTTGTGAAAATTAGCAAAATTTAGTATGTAAGCACCAGATTTATTCACCTTTGTGCCTAACGTGTCAAACCTGTGACCCCATAGTATGTCCCAGGGGAGGTAAGACGTCTGCGCCTGGAACGGCATATTCGTAGATGCCACTGTCCCGTCCAGAATAATAACAAGCTCACAGTTATAACGTTTAAGATCTTCACGAGACATAGTCCATAATGGCGACTTTTCGTCGATCACGTGAACAAGCTGTGTCGGCCAAGCAAGAAAAATCTGTAGACTGCTGTCTTCACCTTTGAAAGTCATTGGGTGATATTTCACCGGGTAGCTTTTCCCCGACTGTGCTGCCATTTTCTGGAAGAAGTAGCCTTTCACTTGGACATTTAATATAAAAGACTTTCTCATGTCACCAACTCGAATCACTAGTTTCATCTGATCGTCTTCCTCTACTATACACGCCACGGTACTGAACAAAATGGTCCTTGCCCTCTTTTTTGCTCTTCTGATTTTGGCAACCACAAGACCAGCCAAGGCCGCCTGCAGTCCTGCACCTACTATTGACTGTATAAAAATCCCCAGATACACAACAGGGCATTCCTCCGTGACGGACCTCGAACCGTAACCAATGGTGGTCTGAGTTTCAATTGAAAATAAAAATGTTGATACGAATGATTTCACGTTAGTGATACATGGATTCCAGTCCTTCGTCGCATAATTTACAAAATCTCCATGCAGGTGACACACGAACCAATAATATAAGCCGAATAGTAACCACGTGATAGTGAATCCACCAATGAAAATAATGACGTTCCAGCTCCATTTAATCTCAATCATACTGGTGAAGAAGTCCGTGAAGAAGTGGATTCGCCTACCACTTATTCCTACGCATTTGATGTTCGTCACACCGGAACTACTTACGAGCCGGATCGGATTGGAGTCCGTCACACCCGTCGTCGTAGTCATCTCCTGTAAAAACAATCGGATACTGCAGTGTTTACAACTAGATTATCTAATAGAGTATATTGTACATCGTATGTAGGAAAGGGGATAAGGGAAATTGTACCAGAGGGTATAGAATCGGGTCAGAACCGAGGCTTGTTGAGGGAAAACATTCCCTGTCCCCCATACTAAAATAAACACTTCCTCTTTTTCCCACTCTTAGCTGACTTAAATGACTATTTAGGGCTTCACGTATCAGTATGAATCAGGGTGTCAGCCGAAATGAAACTTAACAATATTTGAACTTAACCGGTTTGTTTTTATACATTTCCTACTCAATATTTAGAACAAGAAGCCTTAACGGCCATTTCAGTTGAAATACGATTATTATTTGTTTTTGGGATTTGACAGAGCGAAATAATAAATGTACATTGGGCAATTATGTCATTTTAGATGAAGATTTGCCGACTGGATAATGTTCGGGTGCGATAAACATTTCATATCATATATACTACTTTTAACAAATCAAAATATATATTTAGGTCTTCCCCCATCTCCAATGGAACTAAAATATGCCCTAAGCATGTGATCGATCCCTGAGATTTTGTTTAATCTGTTTTACCGCTTTCTGTTACATTGTCGTATTGATTTGCATACCGTCAACCTATCATCCAATGACCATTTATTTTTTTACATGAATATCGTTTTCACCGATAATACCGACACTTCAATGCTGTAAATATTACAAAATATTTACGTTTACATCACTAATGTCTATATATTCTGAATGTAAATATACCATGGTTCTGAGTAGATTACCGGCTTGAATGTTAACAATCTGTCCAATCCCTGCTCTCTTTGAAAGCCTTTGATGCCGTTATTTTATTGTTCCCGTTACATCATCTATTGCTACTTTCGATTGTGTTATGACGTCATAATGCTATCGATATTTCATACCCGCGATGGTAACAAATGGATTGTGACAAGAAGCAGGAACCGATTCTGTTAAAAGAATAGTGTGTGTTACGTACACAGAAGTGGGGGGTGTTACGTACACAGAAGTGGGGGAATTATACCATATTATGAGGATCGAAATACTTGGCAACATATTCCTTGCATACATTGAATCGTCGAGAAAGTTTCCGCTTAAAAGTAGGTTTCAGATGAGAACATTCATGAATATCGTAGCAGAAGTGTTTGAGTCGATGCAATTTTACTGTGGCACGTGGAACGACGAGTGACAGGGTGTTACTTGTTACGTACGAGCAGGCACAGGGATCTGCACCGAGATGTTCAGAGTAAAGCTCGAGCGAACACCCAACGTCTCGCTGCCTTATAAAGATATGTCGGGTAACCTTTATCTAAATTGCTAAAAATATCAGCCAACATGACGTTGACTTCATGAATATGGAAAAAGTTGCCTTATAACAACGCCAAACTTTGAAAAAAAAAGATCGCCATTTGAAGTCCTTGGAAGGAGAATACGTTACCAGAAAAACTCTAATGGTAAGTCTATAAACTGAACTAATGCAGGTCCTCCATTGACAATGTATGTCTGAACATCCATTTGTACTCTTTAAATATCAAAACATCGTCTAATGATCAAGGAAAATCAATAAAACGCATGGTTAACCGTATTACTTTTCGAAATGAGGTATCTGAGGAAAAAAAGACCCCAAGGCTTCAGCGCTAAAAGTGATTCATGTTAAGTCGTTCATTGAGTGTTTTTAAGTTAACTTGGGTATGAAGACTGTTTTAATCGCCAAAAATAACTACAATAACTGTAAACTTAATAGCAAATATTGAAAACAACCATAAAACTGTATGTCATAAAACTTATAGAAATTAAGTCTGGAAAGATGTTTTTAATGCCTGGAAGAAATTATCTGATAAAGAAGACTCTATTAATCGAAATTCATTTTCAGATTAAATAAAATTGCTTGCTAATGGTGTAGTGATTATAAATGATATTCTTAAAGATAAAGATTGGGTTTTTTATCAAGAATTTAGACAGTGTTACAAAACTCTGATGTTAACTTTCTTTAGTACCAATGGGTCATTACAATAGTACGTAGGTATGCCTTTCAACAAGATCTACCATTTTTGATCCCTTTATCACCAATCAATTTGAAGATGATTTAAAGAAAAAAACCGACAAAGGACATTTATAATAAATATAGTGAAAATAAACTACTTTCAAAAGGAGGAGAAAAATGGGAGGAATATCATGTTTTTGATAAAAAAGACAATGGACGTATATCATGTTTCTAGCCCCCACTACTACAGGTGTAAAATAGTTAACGACTCTTGAACATGCACAATGAAAAGGTAATAAGTTCAAGATCCTTTGTAAAACATTGTATTTTCAGATTTGCATACCAAAGAGTCTTTTTTTCGGTACATACAATCACAATAGAACAATGTACACGACATACATAAAATAGTTCTTATGATTAAGAATTTTATTTTTGTAACAAAATGCTTTCAACTACCACTTTCAATAAGTGAAATAAAGAAATGTATTTAAGAAATAGTTCAGCATAGTAACGTGCCACGAGTCTTTGACGGAACGTCATTTTCCCATTGGATTCTGTGTTCATTCACTTGTTTTCAATATTTTCCTAAATTTGGCTCTGTCCCATTTCGATAAAAAATGCACACAGGTAAAAAATATTTATCACTTTTGTTAGAAATATTGATACATTGTCCATGTACCAACCAAATCCATGTAATGGAGATTTTAATTTACATAGACACTTCTTCTCCCCTTATCATGTTCCCCGTACTTATATTCTTTCTCCCTAATCTGTAAATATCTGTTTACTTCTATAAGACCTTCCGTAGTTTTGATTGGTCGAGAAGATGAACCTTGACCGGACGACTTCTTTTCACGCTTTTTTTTGCCGCGTTTTATTTAAGTCGTCTGCTGTCAACATCCGGCAAATATTGGTAACTTTTGTGAGGTTATGCGATGGGAAAAGGGGTTTATTAAGGCAATACCAAAAGAAGATGATGCTTAAAGATTTGATCGCTAGTTCCAGGCAAAATTGCTACAGACGCTCGTTATCGTTTCGACGCCATACCGTCGCGTGTCCAGGTCGTGAAACCCAGAGACTTAATATACATGTATATGTCTTTGTGAAACCCAAACTAGATCTGTACCAGTGTCAGAAAAATATTTCGTTCTCCCCATTTTCCTTTATCAATATTTGGAGGGCCTATCTATGGCGGAACTCTCACTATTAACGTCAACCATAGAACCTCACGAAAAACCTCCCAGGCCTATGGTTTTGAAACTCGACAGCGATTAGTTCGTCTTCATCACTTGGCGGGAGGCAGACTTCGTACGATATGCTTACGCGCATATAGTCCGTGGTTAATTCATATTAATTAATGCAATATTGCATACTCTCAATATTTTAAGTCGTTCATCTATTTTATTTTTTCACGAAGTTGTTGCCGAAACATTAATTTTGAAAAAAAAATCAATTTGTAAAACAAATGTCATTTTTAAATGAGTGACTTTTTACATATGGGTCATATCACTACGCCAGACTTGTCAACAAATTGTGTGTATGTTATTCAAATCAGGAAGTACTCCAGCTGTTTCCGACTGAGATTGTGGTATAAACAGATCACACGACTCATGGTTGTTGAGTATGGTATTTATTTCCCTCTCTTGAGTTAATTTTCAAAAGTTACAGGAAGACACTTACTAAAGCTCGTGTCTTTTATAACTTTTGAAAAGGAACTAACTCGAGTGAAATAAATACCATATTCAACAACCACTCGTTGTATAACCTCTATTTATGTCAAATTATTTTGCTTAATTATGCAAACATTAATTGTGTTGATGCACTAATGTTTAGAACAACTCTGCATACGTGCAAGTACTATGAATGAATATACAACCTGCGTCAACTATCGAGCTAAATGACACCAACCTTTTAAGGGATAGAAGACCTAATCCATTCTAGTGATATTTAATCAATTAAGATGTCTTGTTAAATATTTTCACGTGATGTGTTTAGATTTGCCGGTCAATAAAACAAGCAAACATTCGTTATGTAAGATGATTTGTATTAGAGAGTGTACAAGTTTGATTATTTACGCATTATATGCACATAAATGAGTACAAATTCAATCTCACACTATGAATATACGTCTCTTTGCATGCCAGCCAGAGCATGGCGTCATAAGAGGGAACGAAGCAAAATCCTTGATGGCGGAAGTTTCGGTCGGAAAATAACAATCACTTGTATAAATACTTAAAACATTCTAGATTGGCGGTGAAAGTAACAAGCTTACTATAAAACGTTGCTGTGTAATTAACCAATTTATCGATCACCATTATCGACGATCAGCATATTGAATATTTCATCTTCCTGATTATACATGCATATTGATATTCTAAGCAAGAGAGCCGTCTTGTCATAGGAATAAACTCCGTTAATATTGACCGTTAAAGTTAACATACTTAACAAATCATTTCCTCGTCCGTTGCGTATGTTGATAACAAAAAGAGATTATTTTTCATATGAGGCAACACTCCGAGATAGTACGTATACAGTTTGAGAGGCTTGACATACAGTCAGCACAATAAACAAGATATTTAGTTACGAAATAACATCTAATGAGGGCAAACCTTTCGTTAATACGTCAAAAAACCTATGTTATTTAAACATAATATGAACAATGAAAGGAGTTATGAAACTCACCTTTTTAATGGTGACTGAAGAAAGAATTCCTATCTCCAATAGCACTAACAATCATTATGGTTGGTCCTTTAAGGAAAATAATCATTTAAACAACAAGACTGGGCCAGTGTACGTACATTTACCTACGTACATACATGTACGTATAAACACAGAGCGAAGAGGCAATTATCCGGGGACAACCGATCGATCGTTCTATACCAGGACATCCCTCTCAAATCACAATGGGACCTTCTGATTATTGACATGCACTGATCTATCGGTATCTGTTGGGGGTGGCAGGTAGTCCTATTGATTTTGGATGGTCACTGT